AAGGTTTCAGAGACATAAAGTCCAGTGTGTGTGTGTGTGTGTGTGTGTGTGTGTGTGTGTGTGTGTGTGTGTGTGTGTGTACCGAGGCTTGGATTCAGGATCTGGAGGCTGTTCCCTAGCTTTTTCACTAAAGAATGCCCACAGATCCACTTTTGGCTTTTCTGCTGGCATAATTGGAGATAAGAGTCTCATTGATTTTCCTGCCTTGTCTGGCTTCAAATCACAACCCTCGATCTCAAATAGCTAGGATTAGAGACATGAGCCATGAGACCTGGTTGTGAAGTCCACTTTTAAGGAAATTAGGTTGTAAATGGTAGAACTGACCTTAGATTACCTGATTTTGCATTTGGCCACCATGCATTTGTCCCTGTCTGACTACAGTGTCTGCTCATTTCTGTGGCTTCAAGTAATAACAACACAGTGGTTGCCACAACTGCATGCATTTGGTCAGCACTTTGCAGGACCCACATTTGATGAAAACAGGCAGAAAGCTTCCACCAGCTTTTCAACACTCTCATACATCCCACATCTGGATTGGTTGCTGGCTTATGAATGGATGAGATTTCCAAGATGGTACTGTACTCTGCACCTGACTCCTCTAATTCCCACTGACTTCAACAAGTTCATTTGAACATGTCAGTCATGCTTGTTGGATTATGGGAGGACATATGAAAAAGAAAAATAAGAAAAAAGTTAATGAGATTGATATCAGGTGAGTAGTAACAGGTATGAATGAAAGGTATATGAGCTACCTCATGGCAAAGATATACGAGAGCAATGTAATGTTGATTCATCCTGAGCTAAAAGCTCACCGAGAGAGAGAGTCACAGAGACAGAGACAGAGATGGAGACAAAGACAGAGACAGAGACAGAGACAGAGATTATTGTCAAAGGGTCTTCTGAATCAGAAGGGTAGCTTCTTTGCTGTATGTGTATGGGATTTGAACACAGGTTCTCATGCGCTCATTGGCTTCCTTGCTCATCACTGATGTTCTACCACTTAAGCCATACCCCCAAGCCAGTATTTTGCTGTTTAATTGGAAATGGAATCTCATAGACTTTTTTTTTTGCACAGTGGCCTTGAACCATTATCTTTCAGGTCTCAATCTCAGCTTTCTGAGAAGCTGAGATCAAAGACCCAAGCTTCTTTGTACAAACACACGTTTGAGTCTCCTGATTTCCAGTCCTAATGGATACCTATCTTCTTTTTTATTTATCCTGAGAGCACTTGACTGACAGAGTGAAAAGTTGACAGAGCAGAATCCCAGTCCTCCCCTGCCACTTCCTCTCCCTCTCCACCATATCTAATGAGTAGCTGAGATCTGTAGCTGGATATATGTCAGAGAAGCATTTAACTCTTTTTCTTCATGGCCACTACCACAGCTGCCGTGAGTCAGGCCGTCATCACCATATCTATCTGGTGACTTAACACTTTTAAGTGGTCACTCTGTTCCAAATGCTCCCCTTCAACTCAGGATCCACACGCTGCCAGAATGATTACACTCTAAACAAAAGTATTCACTAAGTCAGACATCAATAGAAAACCTCTCAGCAGCTCCTATTGTGTGAGGAATAGTAGATAGTCTGTATCTAACCCTCATATCTCATCTCCATCTTTGCAGCAATCCTAGGAGGATGGGTCTGCAGTCCCAACATTACTTCCTGAGGCTACCTTACTCAACTGACCTGACTTATTTAACTAGAAAGTGGCAGAACCATTATGTAAACCTGGGTGTGCATGACCCGGAAGTGCATCCTTTCACCATCTTGTAAACATGCCCAACTTCTCATGTCTCATCTTTCAGTGAGCCTCTCTTTGTTCCTAGTAATTTTCAAACTAGTAGTAAGTCCTAGAACTTCATACATTTTATACCTCTGGGAGTACAGCAATGTTTGTTTGCTTGCACCCAAGTGTTTCTCCTCTAATACCTCCTCCTCTTTGGCTATCTGATAGAATATCTCATCCACCAAGATGTAACCCATGCGTTACCTCCTTCATGAGCCTTTCCTGACCTCTTCCTTAGCTGGATGGAATCGCTATCCTCTTGCCTTAACACCCTAATGATTTTACATTAAAGCCAACATAATACTTACTATCCATGCAAGGATCAGTATTGAACACAGACACACACACACACACACACACACACACACACACACACACACACACACACATTGTTTAGTCTATTATAAGCTCCTTAAATGTGGAGTCTGTATCTTCCTAACCCATTGCACTCATATTATCTAGCATAGCTCCAGATACAGAGAAGGGTTACTGCAAATATTGTTGAAGGGATGAGAATGTGTGTTCTTTTACATTGCTTTAGAACACATAAGTGCCTTGGGTGCTTCTATAATTTGGATAGTAACAAGCAATTAGCAATTTGAGGTCTTAAAATATCATTTACCTGCGACTTTCAAGTAGACAGTAGGAATTTAGTGTCAACAGTCTAGCACTGCCATCTCCAGTGTGTAAGATGGAATTAACCACTGGCGCCTTCCCTTCTCCCATCTGCCAGAGGAGCTCTAACATTAAGGTAATTTCAAAGATTATATTAAATAATCGACAGTTATTTTTTGTTTGCTGCACAGCACAAAACCGTGCTAGTCCTGAGCCAAAATCTCTTTCCCTGTCATTCAGTGAATGTACAATCTATGACTTTGTCATGAGGCACAGTATTTGGTTAGAGCATTCCATTCTGAGAGATTTATAATTATTTTCATAAGTCTCAATGCAATTTGGTAATCCATATCTTTATTAAAAGGAGTTATGCAAAGTTTTAAAGATTCTCATGCAGATTTAGAATATCTAAGTCTTTGTTTTGTTTTACCTCTTCTAAAAAAAGCCTACAGATATAGGTCAGAGTTAGAATGTGAATCTTGCATGTGTACATGTGAAGTTGTGCCTTGATTCCCAACACAGCCAACAAAAACAAAGCCCACTTTTTCCCATCCTTCCAATTCAAGCAGTAGATAAGGGTAGAAGAAAAATATACAGTGCACCTGCCACTTGTTTCCACCTGGGAAACTACTCAGTGATACAATTAAACTGTCACTGAGTACGTCAATCCTTAGGATTCACCTATTCACCTTATCAATGAGAATAGGGATGACTCACATTTGAATTTCAACGCCTACATTTTATTGTACATAATACCATAAACCAAAAATAATCAAGTTAATGTAAGCATTTCATTTAAACCACAAAAATAAAGCAATGGAAAACCATGACCAACTCAAGAAAACACAGTCTATTAAAAAAACAAAACAAAACAAAACAGGCTTACCTATACAGGACTCTAGACATTCACACACAGTCAGATTAATAGAAGGATATCCTTAGAGAAGGAACCAAAGGTGCAACTCCTCTGAACATTTCAAATACTATTTATCAAAGTGAATCACAGGAATGGAAGCATGGGTTTTTGTTGTTGATTGTTGGTGGTGGTGATGGTGGTGTTTGTTTTTGCATGGGGGCTTTTGTTCTTTTTAGGGAGGAGCAAAGAAGGGGGCACAGAAAGGGAGGGAAAGGGGTGAACAAGTGAAATTATGCTACTCAGTATACACTGTGTGGAAAATGAACTATGTAACTTGTGGGAAGGGGCTGAAGGGGGAAAGTAAAGGAAGGAGTGACATTGTTCAAAAAAGAAATGTACTCATTATCTGACTTATGAAATGCTAACACCTTAATAATAACAATATAGCTCTATTTAAATTTTTTTTAAAAACCCAGGCTTCTCACTTGTGCTATTCCCTCCTCTAGGTATTCCCTTCCTATGTCTACCACCAAGTCATGTTCCTGGATCCCTGGAGCCCTTTTAAAGGGTACCTGGAGACTAGTTTAAAATACCCACTCTCCTCTGGTACTCCAGTGGAAAAATCCTGGGTATGCCATTCTGAGGGGCCTGCAGTAGAGAAGGAAGGGCAATGTAAAGATGAATTGTGGCAGAGTGCCAACACAAGGACTAGAACCAGAGCAGTGTTAAATTCTGGAGACATACAGCACTTAAGGAAAGTCCTTCATTAACTTCCCTGTGTGCCAGTTTCGTGGACGAAACTACACTTGGGAAGTCCAGGTTAAGGGGAAGGTAGCTACAGAATTTGTCAGACTCTTTCCCAGCCTGCTTTTCTTCACATGGGCAAGCAAATGAGCCAACTTCTTCTGAGTGGATTTCTACCCCCACCCCCCCTCACCCCCAGATCTCTCTGGGTGAAAGGCTTTAGAAGACAGCAGGTGTTCTGAGGAAGCACATTGGAAATGAAGAGATGTGGGTAGTAAAAGTGACATCATCATTTTCTTCTGGTACTTTCATCAGGTAGGAAGTGGATAAGCAGGAGAACAATTAGGATAAGAGAGCATATGGATTAGGAAAAAATACACATACATGCTACCCACAGGCATTGTCTCCAAGCAGTAAGCACTTGTGTTATTTGATCATTTTAAAGCCTGGGACACCTATTATCCGTTGAAAACTACAATGCTAAAATGTTAAGTCTCTGGTCAATTTGAAGCTCTCTTCCCCCCCCCCCCCACCCCTCCTCCAACCAGTATGAAAGCTGGGGACCAGGTTGGGGAACTTGACATCCTAATTGTCAACTGAAGTAAGGTCCTGAAAGCAGCTGGTGGCTTGGCCAGGCCTCCTGGGAGAGGACCTCGTGGCCTGGGCCACGATGGCTGTGGATGGTGTCCCTGCCTGATGTGCATGCACACACACACGCATGCACACGCATGCACACGCACGCACGTCCATAGACAGCTACCTGCCCTCAGGTTTAACACGCGGAGAGATTCTCTCCGATCGTGTCAGAAAAACGAGGCACAAGATGCCACCCACAGCTCGCGTCGTGGGCGGGCAACCCCACAGTCTGTGGTCTGGGGCTGCAAACCCCTTCATCCTGCCACTTGGCTAGGGTTTCCCTGGGTCGCGGGCGGCCTGGGCCGTGGGTCCCTCGGGGTGTGCCCGCCCTGCGCGCCCCCCCCCCCAGTCTCTCCATCCTACCTGGCGCCGCTCCTGCGCACAGGGGGCGGCCGGGGTCTCCTCGACGGTGGGTTCGGTGATGCTGAGGACAGGCAGGCGCACGGACTCTGCTCCCAACGCCAAGGTCACGGTCCTGGAGAGGCGCCCGCTCCCTGGAGCTCGCGGCGTCCGCCTCCTCCGCTCCCCCCACCTCCCCTTCACCTCCCCAAGTCCGGCTGCAGTCCGGGCAGACCCTCGGGCCCCAGAGCTCCGCCCCTCTCCCCGCTCCGCTCCCCGCCCGCTGGGCCCCCTGGCGTCCCCAGTTCTGCCCCCGGATCCCACTTGCAGGCTGGGCTGCCCGGGTTCCCTGGCTGTCCCCGCAGATGGAGCCGAGCGGACACCTCCGGAGCGGCCGTCGGGTTTGGTCCCTCCCTCCATCCCCACCCCACCCCCTCCACGAGGGATCGCGGCTGTGCTCAGGTTTTTCCGTGCAGTTCCAGGGGTATCCACACCCGCCCCCACCCCCCGCCCAGACCCCCAGACCCTTTTCTACAGTCCAGAAGACCCCCCTCCCCCGCTTCCTCTGCCTTGGAGATTAAAGTAGGCTTAGGATGTAGGATGTTTAGGTCACCACCAATGTCCCTTTGTGCCCAGGGTGGGAGATACTTTTGCCCTCTAATAAAGGCCAGACAGTTACAGTGTCATGCATGTAAATCTCGTGCCCAAACTCTTACCCATTCTGCAGGATTGAGGTCAAGCGATGCTAGAGCTGAATGCTCACGGACAGCTCCTTCCTTCCCCTCCCCGAGTGCCAAAGGCCCAGCGCACTTCACTGGCTGGCGCTGGTCTCTGGGACTCTGTTCCACAGTGCGCTCTGCTCGATCTGCTTGCAGACCAGCGCGCCCAGCCTCGCGATCCCGATCCCTACCCATCCCTGGCACAACGCCCACAGCGCATCTCGACGCTCAAATGTTTTCTGAATAAGTGGAAAAGTAATGTCTTTGGTAGAAAAAAACAGGGTTTGCCTGTTTCTTCTCAAAGCCTGTTTAGACCTTTGTAGCCAATCTATTAGTATCTATAAAGATTACCTCCTCCCTCCCCTTACCCATCCCCCCTCACAATCTCTTACATATAGGAATTCCACACTTGGAGAAATTTCAAGGGTAACCTAAAACTCAGATGCCCATTGAGGGATCATTTATGGCAGAAAACAATAATATTAAAAGCTACAAAGAGCCAACAATTCTAAACTTTCACCAGCAGGAACTAATTAAATAAATAAGGATTGAGGGCTGGGAAGGTGGCTCAGTGGTGGAGCGCTTGCCTTGCATGGGTTCGATTCCTCAGCACTACATACGCAGGAAAAGCTGGAAGTGGCTGGCACTATGGCCCAAGTGGTAGAGGGCTAGCCTTGAGCTGAAGAGCTGAGGGACAGCATTCAGGCCCAGAGTTTAGGCCCCATGACCTAGAGAGAGAGAGAGAGAGAAAAAGGATTGAGTGACTTAGTGGAATTTGACATCTCCATTGTAGGAAACATAGGTGCCTAAAGTTATTTCAGGGCAAGGAGATAATATTTATTTATCCAGAAAACAGAGGAAAGCATGAAGTAACATGATAAAATATTTACAAAATATCAGCCCAAGAAAATGCCTTGCTAACCTGCATAATAATTTCAAATTGAAATGCAGCTTCCCCCCCCACCCTGTTCATGTGTGGATAAACACATATCTTAAGGGGTGCTTTGCTTGGCTTAGTAAATGAGCTATTTAAGAAAAGTTCCTGATTCATAGTGACTCTGTACAGCAAAAAGCTTCCAATCCTTCTTCCCCTGAGATGGGTAGCCATCAGTTCTCATCCAAAGTGGTGAATGCATCCTCATCCAGTTCTGGTTCTAATCCATTAGGCTTTCTTCTCCTCAAATGCAGGATAAGAAGGAGCTGAATGAGTGCTCAAGCCACAGGGTCAAGTGAAATGGTGAATCTAGCCATTAAGAAAAGTGCAAGTCCTTTCTAGCATCCAAACAGCCAGCAGAACAAGTTTATAATGAGAGATTTGGTCCAGTAACAGCAATTATTAAAATATCATAGAAATTTTATTTGGCTACAAGCACAACCTTGTTGGTGCCCAAAGGCTGCATTAATTCAATCCCAAGCTGAATATCTCTTAAGTTTGAAGCAGAGTGAAGACTTAACCTTCTGGGCACACCCAGGTGTAATGTGCAGTGTCGGGTATTGTCATCAAGAAAGCATCCCTTTGAGCCAGGTGCCAGTGGCTCATGCTGGTCATCTTAGCTACTTGGGAGGCTGAAATCTGAGGATTAAGGTTTGAAACTAGCTCAGACAGGAAAGTCCATGGGACTCCTATCTACAATTAAGCAACAAAAAGACAGGTATGGAGCTGTGGATCAAGTGGTTAGAGCACAGCCTTGAGCATGAAAGTTGAGGGATAGCACCCATAGTGATACTATCCCTAAGTACTTGTCCAGACAGTTTTCAGTTGAACTTGTCAATTTATGAGTACAAAGCATCTTCAGTGCCACCTCTTTCCCAATTCTCTCCCATCTCTTCACATCCCACTCATCCTCTCAATATTCTTAGTTCCATTTTCACATATGTACATTAAATATTATGATTGCATGTGAAGATGAAGAAACCAAAGCACACAGAGTTCACAGTATCTAGGCTGGGGCAGCCAGGAAACTGCAAAACCACAACTTGAACCTGGTCATCTTGAACACAGAGTAGGGGCGTGGCCACTGAGCCATTGTGCTGAATGTGCACATTTTCTACAAGGCATGGTTTGAGTAGTACGCAGACAATAATAGCACAAAATAACACTGGATTACAAAGTGAACCAAATAATGCCTTTTTGATTCACTTCTTCTTGTGGATCATGTCAAGGAAGAAGTATCTTTTTGTGGGGGATTTGTCTTAACACCTTTCTAGCCTGTGCTAATCTCCTGTTTTAACAACAGAGAGCTTGCTGGTTCCTCAGAGGCTTTGCCTGGCAACAGCTCCCTAAGTAGACTTTAATATCATCTCTTTCTCTTCTGTCTCTGATTATTCCTTATGCTGTTAGATTCTAATTGATGTAGGTTTTCCACTTACCAAGTGATGGAGCTTCCATGTGAGGTAAAGTAGGAAAAAGGAGATAATTTAAAGGAACCAGTTATATTTGAAATTTGGAAAACACTGACCCATATTTCATTAAGAACAGTGTATGTAGATCATGTCTATAATCATAGTTACTCAAGAGGCTGGGATCTGAGGATTGTGGTTCAAAGCCAGACTAGGCAGGAAAATGTGAGATTCTCATCTCCAATTAATCACAGAAAAAGCAGTAAATGGTGTGGTGGCTCAAGTGGTAGAGTATCAGCCTTGAGCAAAAGGAGTCCAGGGACAGTGCTCAGGCCCAGAGTTCAAGCTCTAATATTGGCACGTGCATGCGCGTGCACACACACACACACACACACACACACACACAAAACAAAAGTATAGAGACTATACAATGAAGTCTTATATTTAGCAGAACTGGTAAAAGTCTTAAGGCAGCACAAATACCGCTCTTAAATGGGGTAGAACTTGAAAGTTTAGAGAGCTCTACAGCCTGAAGCTCCCAAATTCATCATAAGGCTCCTTTGTTTTCCCAGCTCTGTTCTAATAGCAGATGTATTCACCCAGACAAGTGGGGTCATTGGTAGGTATGCCACAGAGGGCACACACCCTCTCCCACTCTTTGCCGCTCTTTTTCTTCCATTTCCCTCTTTGTGTTTTCTCTTATTCTTCTCTTTTGTATGAGTTTGGAGAAGAAGGAGGAGTTGAAGAAGCTCCTCCTGGAGAGGAGATGTTGTCAAAGCAACAACATTCAGGTCTTTAACTGAGTGTATGGCAACAACAAAGGAAGGTAAGAGATAATTCAAAAGAGTCTAAAGGAAAATAAAAGTGAACAAAGGAAACTTGATCATGCATCACGGGATATAATAAAATCAAAAACCCAAGAAGGAAAGATAATAAAATGGAACAAGAGGGCACTATTTCTTTCAGGGAATGGTACAGGGAGTGTAGTGGAGGAGGTGAGATTGATTGGAATATACTATAAACATGTATGGAGGTGTAACAATGAAATTTCAAACCCTTTCCTGTATAATTGATATAAACCAACATCACACACACACACACACACACACACACACACACACACACACACACAAAACATAGCAAATAAAGAGCATTTAAGAATATGGCCAGAAGCAATCCAACATAATACTAATCATAAATTATTAAGAGGCAAAAAATCTCAAATGTAAAGAAACTCAGCTGTTTCCAAAGACACACCAATTAATTAAATTACATCAAAATCTAACACATCAAGAATGAGGCAAGGAGACTTAAAATGAAAGTACTTAATAAGTACTTACAAGAGAAGATACATTAATAACATATAGATATGAATTCAAGATAAAAAGTGTTCAATGAAAAAAAAACATTTTATGTTAGGAAAAGATACATCAAGAAGATGTGACAGCCATTGATTCTGTATGCATGCATTAAACTAACTTTGAAATAGATCATATGGTCATTTTACAAGCTAAAAAAATTAAAAATTAACAAATAACTTTAAAACATTTATATAAATGAACTTTATTTCCATTTCAAGGCTTCATGTTGTTGGGCACAAATGTAATCCCATTCCATTCAGAGTAATCTCATTGAATGCAGATTGCCTACACTCAGGTTGTTCTAGATAAACTCTAGGAGCTGTTTTTCTTGCAGGGTGCATGATTCTCTGTCGAGGTGACATCTTTTTGAAGGAGAGAGGGTGTTCCTGACAAATCTTTGACCAGTAGTTCATACAAATCCCTCAGGCTCCTTCAGTGTTTTTTCTAGGCTCCAGGCTCTTGCTTACCTCTATATTGGTCTCCCTTGGGAAAATTAGAAAACTCTACAATATTATGTTCCATATAGTATTGTATCTATTGTATTCTATCAATCCTTTTTTATGTTGCATGTTATATGTTGGAAAATGCAGAGTATTTTCCAACTTCTCAAGCTTCATCTAGGGAGCAAAAAAGCAATCTTTGATCTTTCAAAGC